ACAAAACTTGAAATTGTTGAAAATGGAGTTTTTATATTTTTTTGTTAATTCTTCGTTTTCATTTTTTTTATTTCAAACATAATAATTGCGAAATGGTAATAATGATAAAAACTTAGAGATTGGAATCAATGAGTTTTGAGCATCGATTAGTCACAAACTCTAGAGTTTCGAGCATCGGTAAAAAATTTTAACCAGTGTTCGAATGTTCATTGAGTTTTTAGAATTACATAAAAGAATTTAGTAATGAAATTTATTAATTGTATTATTATCGCTATATTACTTAATAATTTGCGACATTAAAAAACAACTTTGTATTATTATCGCTACATAAAATTTACAAGACTTATAATTTGCACATTATAAAATCAACATGCACTATTACCGCTATATTATTTAATATGCAATTTACATAACTTATAATTTGCGATATATATTATAAACAACCATGCATTAATCCTAGACATCAGGAATAATAAAATCAATTTCCTTCATATTATGTTTTAGAAATACCATTCTGCCAAATAACTTTGGCTTTAATAATGTTCTTTTCACACTCATAACATTTTCTGCATCTGAAAATAAGCGCTCACTTGGTGTGCTTGTTGCAGGAATTGCAAGAAATTTTCGGGCCATTTCACTTAAAATTGGAAATTGCCGTTTTTGTAAAGACCACCACACCATGGGATCTCCCTCGAAATCAAGCTCAGGAAGAGCAAGGTAACTTGCAACTTCGTTATTATCTTGGTTTTGTGAGCTTGGTGAAAAAACAGATTTGATGAACCCTTTACGGTAAGCTTGCTTTTCATTTTGATTAATCATAGAAACTGATTTGGATATCAATGAAGTAACTTGTTTAGATAAACAGTGTTGCTCCTTAAATTCTGCATACACAGCATGCAAAGTTTCTTCAACCAGATTTTGCTCATCAGTTGATAAAACATGTAACCTTTTGCATCTTGGGTCCAATTGACATGCAAGATATACATTTATATTAGGAGTTGGCCAATAGTGAAGTAAGGCTTTATAAAGAGACAATTTTATGTGATCTTGTAATCCACTTGTATTTGTAGGTGTATTAATTTTGATTCGACGTTTTTTTAGCCCTACTGTAATTTCCTCTTCATCATCTTCATATTCAAGATCATTGTCAAATGCATTATTGTCTGAATTAAAATCCAAAGTTAAATCAAAGTCTTGAGTAATAGGACATAGCTTAATCTTAAGAGCAGTAATCAACAGATACATCATGCTAATTATAACATATTCACTACCACTAAAATACTCTGTATATTCATTAAATGAATCAAGTAAATGAGTTAAATCGTTCATTAAATTCCACTTATCATTTGTAAGCATAATTTTCTTGAGACGATTATAATCTTGACGTACATTAGGTGAATTATCTTTGCTTAACATAATTAAAATAATATCAATATAATCTCTAACTAAGAGAAGTCATTCCCATGCTAAAAAGGATGAATTTCAACGAATTAGAACATCACATTTTAAGCGAAGATATTCTTTAGTATCCTGAATTATCTATACAATTTAAAAAATAAATTAAAAAAAAATAAATTAAAAATTTAAATTAAAAAAAAAAATTAAATAAAAAAATTTAAAAAAAATTAAATAATATTACATTTGTTTTTAAAATTCCCAAGCTTTTTTGTGCATTCTCCAACCTTTCATTTTGTTTAGGGTTCATAAAAAAATTTATCAATCATTTTGCATGAGCTACAAACACTTCAGCTAGTAAAAGACCCTTGCTAATCACAAGTTGAAGTGTATGTGCTATACAGGGCATTCTACTAACTCCTATTTGATTTATCACCCTTTTATATTTGCTCCATTATCTGATGTAATCGTAAAAACTTTATCTGTCAATCTCCAATATTCAATTTGATTATTGATAACATTATTTATATTAATTGCTGTATGTGGATATTTTAAATAAGTTAATGTAAGAAGAGCTTTATGTATTTTAAAATTTTCATCTATCCATAAGCACGTGATTTCTAGAAATCCTTGTCGATTTCTTGCTGTCCATAAATCTAACATCAAACATACAGTTTTACTAGTTGTTTCTAATTGTTGTTTTAATAAGTTTGTTGAATTGTTATAAGTAATATGGATAAGTTGCTTTACAGTTTTTTCATATGGTATTGCAAATGTGAAATCCAGATTATGAACAAATTCGTGAAATGATTCCTTTGATATAAGATTTAATGGTAAATTTTCACAGATGAGGTTTTAATAAAGATCGAACAAGAAAATTGTTTTTTGCTTTTGGATATAATATTTAAACAAATCACATTAATCTGCAAAATATTACCATGATTCCATGTATTGAATAAAGATGATGAATAAGGTTTGAAGTTGATCCACCCACAACTTTAATTCTTTGAGCACATCGTGTATTATCATCTTTTATAATCTGGCATTCACCATATTGGGCCTCTTCACCATCTTTATTAGTTACTACGATCAAATCAATGTGTTGCCAAACCCAGGATCGTTTTTTAGACCCACCACGTCTTTCTAATTTCTGTTTTTTAGAGCTACTAGTAACAGCCTCCTCTATACTTGATTTTGGTTCTTCACAAGCCGAAATATCAATGTAATTAGATTCATCCTCTTCATTATTCAAAGAGAACTCTATGGGAGTATCAACAGAAGGTGCGATGTCCTTATTCAATATTAAATCAAATTCCATGTTTTAACAAGATGTCACGAATAAACAATAGTAGGTCTTTACTGCAAGTCAAACTCAGGTATGCAATGATCCACAGTTTTACGTTTTTTGTGTATTATAAATATTCAAGTGAAAAGACTAAAATTTTATTATTTATTTCGTCGCCTTTATATTACAAATTAATTACATCATTTACGTCATTGATTTTTCATTAACTCCCTCACTCTTTACTTATACTTTCTTATTGATAAATCAATCAATCAATTAATTATGCCGTTAT